GGATCCGCCTTGGTCCTTGAGCAAGGTCACCTTATTAAAGCATGCATGCAATGTCCCATCGAATGTCCTCTAAGCAGCATGGGGTACGCTTGGCAAGGAAATTTCGATGCGTCATTCCTACATGGTAATGGCCCTCAGCACATAGTCAAAAACCTTTACGAGACAGAGGTCTCTACCCCAATAGCGAAAATGTTCCTACATGCATTGGTTTTAAAAATTAAATCTCAAACCCATAGACAACTATAAATAATGTATTTTGGACCAAGATCCTAGTGAGAAGCACATTCTGGAATTTATATTGTTTTGTGGGAAAATGCTGCTTATGTACAGTAATGGCTCAAAAGACATTATTTCAAAGATGCCTCTTTACTGTGAAGTCAAAAGATTTACAATGATGGGCATCTGGAATAAAGACTTTACATAGCATTTGTCTAACCTTTCATTGTATAGGTGAGGACACTGAAGCCCCAGAGAACTGAGGTAACAAGCCCAGAAGTATAATGTTAGGCAGTAAAAAGTATCTCCTCTTTCAATTCCTTTATGTTACGCCATCAGGGTGGTCACCTCAGGCATCAAAAGAAGAAAGAAACTAGATTTTTTTTTTTTTACCTCTTTAATATCAGGCTTCAGATTCACACATTATCACATAAGAAACCAGGGAAGAAAAAGGGAGAGAGATGTGATGGAAAAATTGCTCCTAGCAAGCAAACAGATTAAAGAACACCCACCTCTCCACCATCTGTATGGAGCCCATCTCAGGGCCCCTCAGAGAATGAATTTAAGTGGTTGGAGGCCATATTGTGGGGAAATGTCTGATTTTCAAGGGTCCAAAGCACTGAATTCTAATGAAACCTGCCTAAAGTTTTCTCTGTATCTTTCAAGGTTTCTAGCTCTTTATTATTCAATTCAGGAGAATTTCATATACCTCTCCCAAAAGAAGAAATTGTTTCTTATCTCAGGCCTTGGAGCTCCTGATTCTCACTGCCTCTAAAATATGTCATACAGCAGACTCCTCTAAAATATGTCATGAATTATAAATATATGATGTCAAATAAATTCAATTCCAAAGTTTCCATTGGAATTCTACTCCCCGAATGACCATTTTGCCTCAGGAAGAAAGATATATATGAGATATATGTATATGACTTTTTCAATATTTTATCCCATATAGATAATATATCCTAAAAATTGTGCAAAGATTTCTTTGCCAAGAAAATTATTTCATACTTATTTTCTTTCATTGAATTATATATATATATATATATATATATATATATAT